AAATACAATAGATACTCAAACTCATATATAATTACAATTTTTTTCTTGCTACGTGCAATACTAGAATTTAGAATTTTTAGACTTAATCCAATTCCATGATCTAACCTGGATCAAATCCATAGTCTGTTACACGCTCCTTTCCTTGCTGTGGAACAAATTTTTTTTATCCAATTCCAAAATTTCCAGCATGCCGTGACGACTAGTAGCATCCAAAATTTGTCTTTTCTTTTCATAGGATTCAGGCCTTCATGTTGAACAAACATCCCATGACAAGTTATGTAGCACAGCACTTATATTAATTTCCACAATCCATCCATTCTGCTCCAAACATATCCATGCCTTTTCTCGCATCTTGCAAAAAGATGATCTGTTGTCTCTTCATCTTCCCCACAGGGCCCGCACTTTAAATTAGATGGGGAGTTTAAAATCCCTCTTGGTTGGTATTCTTTCCTGAATCATCATTTTCCAGACATAACGCAGCAGCCTTTAACAGGACCACATTTCTCCATAGCAGCTTCTTCACCTTCTTATCCTGTTAAATGATTGTTTTTTGTCAGCATTTTGTTGACAGATTTCAACGTGTAGGCTAATTAAATATCAGTGGACCACTGCCACCACCCATCCTTCTTCCTTTCCTGCAAAACAACAAAGCTCACACACCGACATAATTCCTCCAATAACTCCTCCGCCCAAGTGAACAGACTTCTTCTCCAATACCAATTCCAACTCCAGCCTCCATTCTCCTTTCTCATTATTTTTTGTTGTTTTGACTAAAGCTAGTCTATACAATCTTTCAAACTTTATTCTTAGTGGTTCAGTTCCTACCCAAGTGTCTTCCCAACACAAAGTTTTTTCTTCACTCCCTGCCACTTTCTATATCCCATTGCACAGCCACCCACTCCTCCTTAGAACAATCCTATCCAATCTCTCCAAAGTTTTCCGCCCACTCTTTGTAATTTTTCAATCAGTTGGATTATTATTATTATTATTATATTTTTTTTGGAGCCAGCTAATCTGCTATATAGAAAAATAATACGCCCCCCGAAAATATGGATCACTCCCCAGATATAGAGATAGATATCGTACACGTACCCGGCAAATATGGATCACTCCTTAGCCCTCGAAAGTAACACATACATGACCTAACTTGAACTCGTACGAAACCTGTTAGGTGTTAAATTCCATGTGAAGCTCTGTCAAATGCACAGTCCTTTGCTTATGCCTCAGATTCGCCGTCTGCTCGACCTCAACAATCTCATTAACTGCTACTGTCAACTACTTTCACCCTTCTACTTTAATTGAGTCATAATAATAAGAAGAATAAAAAATTAAAACACAAATTTAAAATTAATGGTGTATTATAAGTTATATTATTAAATTAATTAATATATATAATATTAAAAAATTAAAAAAATTAATTATTAAATAATATATAATCCCACCTTGTAATATATATTTTAAATAACGTGGTGTTAGTCTTAAATTTTGGTTCTATTTATTATTATTCATTTTAATTATTTTATTTGTTTAACTTTACACATACTTAAACAATTTAAAAATAAGTCAAAATGTTATAATTAGGTTTTAAAATCACACATTTATCTCCAATAGAAAACTTTATATATTATCTTTAAAATTAGATTAAAGCAATATATATAAAGTTAAAAACAATACTTAACGTTTAATTAATGTCCCATATAAATAGAAATTAAGGCAACTAAATTGAAATACCCAAATTTAATAAGTGTGAGAAAATTGGAACAGATGGAGTATTTGATAAACTGATGAATTTACATTTTTAATGCAGAATATGCCCAAAAAAAAAGGTATACTGTCCGTACAGAATACAGAAATCCTTTATTTATGCATGCAAGTACCAATGTATACCATAATCTATGTTGTTAGAGAGCAATCAAGTAAATTAGTTTAGCTATGTTAATGATTCTCTTTGCCAAAGCATATGAGTCTACCAATGTGATGGTCCCCTCATTTGTACGGTAAGTTAGCTAATTAAAAGTTTTTCGCTTGGTTAAACTCCACTTAGATCCATGAAATCTTATAATTAATTATAATGGCACGTTTTAGATTGAGAATATACATATGCACATCGAAAAATACATTCGATGCAAGTTGGGAATTAGATTTAAGATATCATCGAAATCTTCAAGAAAGTATTTAGTTAAATATATAATAATTTATGTGTACATCAAAAAAGGTAACATCAAGTGACACACTAAATCTCTGGAACTCTATAATTATACCACTCAACACTAAAAAATTTAATCACTCCTAACAATTTATATATACACCAACCATTTCCAGCTGGTAGAGAGATGATATCTTTGTTTAATTCCAATTATCTAACTTCATTTTTCTTGATTTCAATGGTATTCATCTATGTTATCCATGCTTTTATAGTTAAGGACAAATTATCCTTCTAACATTGGTACCTGATGAACTGAACGTCCTGAACTGTAGTATTCAGTTTTACCCCTTTTGTCTTCTGAGAAAAAAAATATAATAACAACAGAAGGAACTGGGGTGCTATAGTTTGGATTGGGCAGAAAAGATAAAAAAAAAAAGATTGCTAATGCCTTGGGTAGATTATATATGGACCAATCACACCATAGCTTTGTGCCTGGCTAGTCTTAATTTGTTTTAAATGTAAATTTTAATACAAAAAACAAAAACTATTCGGTGTAACAGTTACCTAAAAGTCTATCCATAACTATGCTAATTAAGAGGAGAAGTACTAAGGTAGTGATTAATAAGTACTATGACAATATTTTTGGAAGACAGTATATATTTATGTGTATTAGATTCAATTCATTTCCCAGCAACAAATTATTATTATTATAAGTAAATTTATATATTTACGGCCAAAAAAATTAATTTACATGTTTTATATACCCTATTTCAATTGACATGTAAAATATTCCCAATTAAGGCCTGAAATCAATATCACTCCCAAACCTAGCTATTAGTTTAATCATGAAATTATATAAAGGACAAGAATTTCTTGACAGAAAACAAATCTTAGTATTTACATAAACTCCCTCTCCGTCCCCAAAGAAAAAAGATAGATATTTTCGGATTGAAGGAGTACTGTATGTAGGTATGTCAATATTATATATGTATATCTATATGTTTATGCACATGAGTAAATTTGATCATCATGTGATGTTCAAAAGTGTCAGGTGAGTTGAAATATATAGCTAGATATATAGATAGATCCAAATCGACCCTGTCAGGATATATTAGCATATAGTACTATACGAGAAATTAAGTATTTCAATTAGGGTTTTAGTCCTAACAGTAATTTCTTCAGGTCGAACAGACAACGAAACAAAGGTTTTTATCTGCAAAAGACTGCTCGTTTGACACTAGCACAGCATGGAATTTACTCACCCTCGCTAGCCAGCTTCAATCATCTCTGATCGTGCAGGAATCGAGTGCAGGATACCATCACTACTTTTGGTTTCGTGTTGATGGAAAGAGGAAAAACCATCATTTTTAGTTCGAACTCTGGCATGGACATCAAAAATCAATCAAAATAGCTAAGATTTAATTACGAACATGAAACAAATTAAATCAAAAAATACTTTGAAAACAATCTAGATTATCGAGAACGTACCAGCAAATACTGAAGGCTTAAGATTGAGAAGAGGATTTTTAGTTCTGTTTGTTAGGTTTGTAAAGGTGGAGATTGCTGGAGATATTATATAGAAGAGGAGAGTGACGTTTTTTGGCCTTTTTATTTATTTTTTCTTTAATTGGACAGTGTATTTTACAGATTTATGGAAAGCAATTAATTAATGGAGGGATGGATGGGTTGCACTCTTACTAATATGTCCCGACACGTGAGGAGCTTTGACTAACTGGTGCATCTGCATGACATGCATCCACCACCCTATGCACATAACTACCACATAAAACTCTATGGTTTTTTTTTTTTTTTTTTGGTTTAAGCGACCAATTTACTTGTATTTTAAAACTAATCTCACTGTTTCAATCAAAGCTACTTTTATATATGTTTATGGGGGTGTTTGATGAAATTTAAAACATAATTTTTTTTATAAATTTAAAAATTTATTGATAAAAGATTTAAAAATTAATTTTTAAAGTAACTTTTAAATAAGTTTTTAAAAAAATTAAAATTTGTAACCTTTTAAACTTACTTAAAAGAAGTTACTTTAAAAGTTATTTTTTAAATTTTTAATAAATTTTTAAATTTACAAAAAAAATTTACTGTATTTTTATGTTTCCGTTAAATTAACACTCTATTATGAGGCAAGATAAACTAACATGATTCTTTTTGTGTAGTTATTTACAATATTATTTTTTAATGGAAAATAATGTAAATATGTTTGGCATAAATTAATTCTTAAAGTCACTTTTAAACAAGTTTTTAAAAAACAATTAAATTAAAATGTGTAACTTTTTAAACTTACTCAAAAGAAGTCACTTGAAAATTTATTGACAAATTTAAAAATTAATTTTTAAGTAACTTTTGAACAAGTTTTTTTAAAAAATTAAATTAAATTATGTAACTTTTTATACTTAAAAGAAGTTGCTTTAAAAGTCATTTTAAAAATTTTTTAATAAATTTTTAAATTTATTAAAAAAATTTACTGTATTTTTAAAATTTCGTTAAATATTTTAATACAAGACAAGATAGACTGACGTGATTCTTCTGTGTACTTATCTACAGTACTATTTTTTTAATGGAAATTAATGTGGATATGTTTGGCCTAAATTTTTGAAAGATACCACCACGCTACATGTTTTGTTGATCTAGTCCTGCCTTCACGAGGAATGGAGCATATAACTTAGCAAAGGAAGTTGGGACCACGTTGCCAACTTGCCATCAACTTCCTGAAAGTTCTTGTTCCTGGAGCATTTGATATTTGACGTTGATGCTTCACAATTCTGGATCCAATGGAGTACGGACTGGGGATGAAACCAACCAAACAAAGTTTAACTCGCACACACAACTTCCAATCACCTCTTTATACAATGTAAAATAGCTTCTGAATTGTGGATGGATTGTTTCAAGTGGTGGGGCATCATAACAGTACAAGACAAAGACTGTAGAAAGGTATTTGAACAGCACCCGAATGCAGCTAAAATGACTACAGCAAAGTTTGGATGGGAGAGCATCTGGTTCACGGTGACATGGACAATTTGGCTTGCCAGGAACGAGAAGATCTTTAAACAAAAAGAGGTTGACAGGAGAAAGCTACTAGAGATGGTACAGCTAAGGGCATTCAACTGGATCAAAGGTAAAAGGGGAGGCTGCTATTTTTCACTGTCAGATTGGATTCAATATCCGGCGGGCTGCTTAAAATTTAATTGTGACAGTAAGAGGAAAGATAAGGGACAAGCAGCTAACTCGGTGAAATCCCCTGTTTGAAGGTATTTGAAAATATGGAGGGATCAGGTTTGGATTAATTTTGATCCTTGTAATGGGTTGGTGTACCTTTGTACCCCATTAATTAATTAATAAATAAAGTATTATCCTTTTGCTTTTCAAAAAAAAAAAACTCGCACACACAACAACAGTTCGTACGGTCCTTCTGCTAGACTCATACAACTCCTCTATGTGTCTCATGGAACTAGTCCTTGTGAAATAATATCCAGGGCCCACCGACCTACCAACTCTTTTAACCGAGATTATAAGGTCCTCAAATATTTCTACTCAAATTTTTAATAATGGTTAGTTTCCACATTTAAATATCGGCCATAATTATTCTTTGTTTTTAATGTAAGATCTTGAAACGTCACAATTAATCTTCCATAATTAAATTTTTAAGGTTAAAACTCTATTTTGGTCTCTTTATTTTAACAAAAAGTTTTTTTTTTAATTCTAAAATTTATTATTTGGTTCCTTTTTAGTTTTTTTGTTATTTTTTATACATGTAACATATTAAATGATGAAAATTTTAAAGTAAAGAGACTGAAAAGAGATTAAGAAAAACCTTTTTTGATCCCTCTATTTTTTTTTTTTTTAAAAAAGGACCCTTTTAAATCCCTCTACTTTAGAATTTTCATTATCCAATATAACATTTGCGCCAAAAAATAACAAATGGACTAAAAAGGGGTTGGATAAATAAACTTTAAGGACTAAAAAGGAATTTTCTTAAATGAAAGGACTAAAAAGAAGCTTTCTTAAGTAGAAGGATTAAAAAGAAGTTTTCTTAAGTAAAAGGACTAAAAATAAATTTTTATTAAAGTAAAAGAACCAAAATAAAATTTTAACCAATTTTTAATGTCATTATAAAAAAGAACCACATTCAAAAATAGGCCCACAAAAATAGGGCCCAATCCCGCCTACTTGAGATCTCTATGCCACCATTTATGATGATTGGTATAGGCTCACGGCTATCAGAGATGACTACTTTAATTTCTTTTATTACCTAATAAAATTCTTATTAATTTGAAGTAAAAAAAGATACTTCAACCTTTACATCTAATGCTCACAACTTCTTCTAGGGGCTCACAAATGGCCTGCCTTTCACGCAAAATATTTTGTGTTAATGCATTTTGTAACAGCCCTTAATATATAGCTAAGGTATCCATTATACCCTTGCACACAATCTAGGATTGAACGACCAATCATAAAGAGAAAATAAACATCCCACAGCCTTGTCTTTCAACCAGAAGAAAGTCTTAACCTATATTTTTTTGAATTAGAGACTATGTAGTAAAGGTTCATTTGCAGAAACAATCAACCTATTGCAATTGAAACGACTCAAGCTAGAACTCATTATTGACCTAACTTCTTGGGTGAAGCTCCATAAGCCTCAAAACCTTAAACTTAAATTATTAGTTGTGGTTGATTTTCACATGTGTATACCCCTCACAATTTTACTTCTTTTTTTATGAAATCCATTGGGGTTGGCTAAAATAAGTGGTAAGGATAGATGAGAACTATGCTTGAGAATGTAGGTTCGAGTCTTTTTTATTGCCATTTGAGTGTAAACAATTCCATTAAACCATTCTTGCCACCTTTAAATGTGGAGTTTTATCTAGTACCCGTAGATGAGGCAATTTGTAAGTACTCATGAAACTGGTTTAGTCGAAGGCCCAAATACCCCTGTTATTAAAAGAACAAAAAGGGAAACTTCTTTTTCGATGTGGGATTTGGATGCCCAATCTCTTCTACTTAAATACTAGATTTCATTTTGAAAAATGATTGGTAAACCCTTCAATTCAACACACTTTTTGATACTTACTCGATTTAATCATTAAAATATAATATAAGTACAGCTGACTAAGCCAGTTCTTAGATGCTCTATTCATAGTTACATATTTAAATTTGTTTGCCTTTAATTTCAAATAAGAAAATAATGATTTTTTTAATGAGTGTGTTGTATAATGTATTGAACTAAATAGTGTATGAGTCATATCTACGAGGACCCTCTTTGACACTAATTGAAGCGACTAGGGCCAAAACCCACAGTAGTTTAACAAACCCTTTTAAGTCAAGATGCACATGATTCTCAAAACATCAAACTAAAATTATTAGCAATTCTTGGTTTTTACATTTGGGAAATGATTGGTATATACTCAATTTAATATATTTTTTTACACTTGTCTTAGTTTAGCTATTAAAATATGATACAAGTATAATCAATTTAGGCAATTTCTACATACTAGAAAAATAATAATTTTTAAATGAGTACATTATACAATATATTAAATCAGAGTATACCAATCAATGTCCTTCCATGTTTATATAACTTATAATTGTATTTCTTTTTCTAACGTGGGATGTGAGAGATCACATCTTGCCCTTGTTTAGAAGAGAAGAGGCCACTCAAAATCTAGTTTTGAGGTGGGTAGATATTAAGGCACTAGGAGAGGATAGGATGGGCACCCATGACTTGGTAGCCCCTACAATTCCAAAACTTAACACTGCCCATCCTTTCCTCTACCCAGCCCTCAATAAACGTGATGTTCATTTATCAGAATGCCAAAGTTACTGGTAATTTGCCTTTCATTCGTAATGCCAAGTATGCCAGGTACCTCATTATGCATTTCGCTCTTAAAATTGTTGTTTTTTTAGAGACTTATTTGACAAACATGGTAGCACTCCTATATTCAAATATAGAGCACAATTGTTCATGTTTAAAGAAAGGACACTGATTAGTACATAGGAAAATGATTGGTACACACTTAGTTCAATATATTTTTCGACACATTTTCGGTTCAATTATTAAAAATATAATATAAATATAATATAAATACAATCAATTTAGCTAGTTTCTATATTTTATATGCATAATTGTATTTTTAAATTTGTCTGTTTTTAATTTTAGATCAAGAAATAGTGATTTTTTAACAAATGTATTGTACAGTATATTAAACCAAGTATGTACCAATCACTGTTCACTTAGAACATATTTTAATTTAACACATTACACATAATATTAATTAAAAAAATATTATTTTCTTATCTAAAATTAAATGTAAACAAATTTAAAGATGCATTCATAGACATAAGATACAAGAACTAATTAAATTAGTTGTACTTATATTGTATTGTTAATAACTAAACCAAATGGATATTAAACAACCAAGTGTATATTAATCATTTCCCATAAAAAAAAAAAAAGATTCATACTTTGATACCAATTGTTAAAAGTTAATATTGGCCAATTTAATGCAAAAACATCACTACAAAATCACATATGTAGAATAATTAATTTAAAAAAAAAAAAAAAAGAAGGAAAGAAGGACACCAATTTTATATGATCAATCATTCAACTTGTCCACCACTTTACAAAGACAGTATTTCTTTTTGGAGAGGGGCTGATGTAGGGGAAGATTGTTGGATTTGATACAAAAGAATTGACGATACTTTTATGATTAAAAGGCCAAGCCGACCGTCTCGTTTTCTGCTTTCATGAGTGGAATTAACCAAGAGCCGTGGCATTGTGTGCAGAAGAAAATTTTGAAAGTCAGTTCGCGCGACGCGTACAGTGCAAATATTTTTTTACCGGCAAAAGTTAAATTTTCTTTATGGAAGCGATACTCCAAATTAAACCCATAACTATTAAGTTTTTAATTAAGACATAAAAATCAAATCTCTCTAAGATCGAGCAAAATCTGGTATGAGAGATTTAAGACTCAATGATTCTCTTGAAATGAATCCCTAAAAAACAAATGATAGATACACCCTCTAATTTAACACATTTTTCAACACGCATTTGCTTTAATTATTAAAATATAATATAAATAAAGTTAATTCAATCAATTCATACATACTATATGTATATATGAATTAATGGGAGAGACCAGAACTTGTGTTGGATAGTTTCAGGAAATTATCAACAGAAGAAAACAATTTTCTGGAAGCAGCCTTTACAGTGCAGGAAATTCAAGAAGTAGTGTGTGGGTGCAACGGAAGTAAAAGTCCAAGACCGGATGGCTTCAATTTTAACTTTGTGAAGAAAACGTGGCCAATACTGAAGAAGGAAATCTATAAATGTATGGCAGAATTCCACATGAATGGGAAATTAGCTAAAGGAAGTAATGCATCATTTATTGTTTTGGTCCCTAAGAAGGAGAATCCTCAATGTTTGGGAGAGTATAGACCAATTTCCCTTATTGGTTGTATATATAAAATCATCTCCAAAATCTTAGCAAACAGATTGAAAAAAGTTATGTCTTCTTTAATTGGACCCCAACAATCTACATTTATAGAGGGAAGACAAATCATAGATGGAATAATTATTCTCAATAAGGTGATGCATGAAGCTAAGAACAACAAAAAGCCAGTACTAATCTTCAAAGCAGATTTTGAAAAGGCATATGATAGTGTCAATTGGAAATTCCTAGACAACATGATGAGCAAATTTGGGTTCTGCCCCAAGTGGAGAACATGGATCGGGGAGTGCATATCATCAGCTACAGTTTTAATCTTGGTTAATGGGAGTCCTACAGAAGAATTTCAAATGGAAAAGGGACTAAGACAAGGGGATCCTCTAGCCTCATTTCTATTTCTCATGATAGCTGAAGCCCTAAATGGTCTCATGATGAAGGCAGTGGAGGAGAATTTGTTTCAGGGAGTTGAGATTGGAAGAAGCGGCCTTAAACTCACGCACTTACAATATGCAGATGATTCTATATTCTTTTGCGAAGCAAATGAGCAAAATGTGATGGTTCTAAAGAGCATTTTAAGATGCTTTGAAATGATCTTTGGCCTCAAAGTTAATTTTTTCAAGAGCTCTCTAATAGGACTCAATGTGGAAAAGGTCAACCTTGAAGCTTATGCAGAGAAACTGAATTGTGCCATTGGCAAGGTTCCTTTTAAATACTTAGGGTTGCTAATTGGTTCAAACCCGAGAAGATTGTCTACTTGGGCCCCGGTGATTGATATCATGAAGAAGAGGCTTTCCAACTGGAAGAGGGACTCGCTATCCTTTGGTGGGCGTATAATTCTTCTAAATTATGTCCTCTCGAGCATCCTGATGTACTACTTCTCAACCCTGAAAGCCCCAAAACAAGTAACTCTTTTACTTACTAAATTACAAAGAAATTTCTTATGGGGGGGAGGTGAGAATAGTAGAAAGACAACTTGGGTAAAATGGGAGACTATTTGTAATAGGAAGTTAGAAGGGGGCCTCGGAGTTAAAGATTTACAAAAGTTTAATCTAGCCTTATTAGGGAAATGGAGATGGAGATTTTTATTAGAAAAAGAGGCATTGTGGAAACAAGTGTTGGAGGCTAAGTATACAATAGATAAAAGTGAGATGTGGGAAGCAAATAAATGGGATAGGTTAGGTTCGGCATGGTGGAGAGACCTATGGAAGATAGAATATGCAGTAGATGGAAAGAGGGGATGGTTTAAGGAAGGGGTAGGAAAAAAAGTAGGAGAAGGAAAAGAAACACTGTTCTGGCATGAGATATGGGTTGGAGATAAGCAACTAAAGGAGAAATTTAACAGACTATTCAGCTTGTCCAAGGAAAAAGATGTTTGTATTGCATATATGGGAGAATGGAAGAACGGGGAATGGACATGGAACTAGAAGTGGAGAAGGAGACTCTTTGCATGGGAAACTAACATGCTACAAGATTTTCTATCAACATTATAAGGAACACAGCTGAAACAAGGTGAGGACGACTGCTATGTGTGGAAGCATGACTCAAAAGGCAAGTACACAGTGAGATCGGCATACAACTTATTAAACTAGAAACAAGATAACAGACTGGATTACAAATACAAGTTAAGTTGGGACAACAAAATGCCATTGAAGATATCAACCTTTGCATGGAAAGCCTTACAAAATAGGATTCCAACCAAAGAAGATCTTCTAAAAAGAGGTATGATTGAAGAGACAATAGGAGCAAAATGCATTCTATGTGGAGAAAAGAATGAGACATCATCACACATACTTTTCTCCTGCCCAGTCTCATGGAAAGTATGGTGTCTTTACTATGATTGGTGGGGCATCAAGATAGCTACACAAGAAGATGGATGGAATCACCTAAGGCAACATATGGGTCTCATAAATATAGGAAGAATAAAGCAAGCATGGTCAACAATATGGTTCTTCTCAATATGGTCTGTATGGATGTGAAGAAACGCATTGATTTTCAAGGGAGAACTACAGCGTATTGAACAGGTTATTGACCACATTAAACTCCGCTCTTACACATGGATCAAAGCAAGATTGACTTCAAACCTAGCCCAATCAATCTGGTTTAGCAATCCGAAGGAAGCCTATAGGGTACATGCAAAGTAATTCTCTTTTGTTTTACTACCAAAGAAAGAATCAGTACTTAGAGATATGGCTTTTGTGACCCCAAATCCAAACTTTTTGTACTTTTTGTAACTGTGTTATAATCGGTTGAGGTACCCCTTGTACCTTTAAAATAAATTTTCTTTACTGATCAAAAAATATATATATACTATATGTATAGTTGCATCTTTAAATTTATTTGTCTTTAATTTTATATTAAAAAATAATAATTTCTTAATAAGTGTGTTGTGCATTATGTTGAATTGAAAGGTATAGTAATCAATATCTAATCCTTAATCAGCTTATTTCATAGATATGCACAAATATATGCATAAGCAAGTTGAGAGTTTAGTAAAAAAAACTCAATTTTGAAACTTAAATTTGATGCTACAATAACGAGCTCGAGTTGAGTTAGATGAACCATTAATCTCGAGCTTAGTCATGTTTGGGTAGCCCCCAAACTTTGAGAAATAAATTTCAATTAATTAGTAACAATTTATATCGCTGAATATATAATTATTTTTTTATTTTTTATTTTTTTTATTTTGATTATACAATGAGAGGCAGTCATCTCTCATCCCTTATCCCACCCCACTTGCATGCCATGCGATTCAAATTCAGGACCTCTTATTTTCAACGAAAGGAAATGACAACTAAACAGTTTAGGTCATTGGCATAATTATTTTTTTATTAAATTTGAGCTTTCAGCCGAACTAGTGAATTCATTTATAACTCTAGGCACAAAAATCTGTCTTTTTTCTTCTTCTTTTTTTAAAAAAAAATCTCTCTAATTTCTTTGTATTGCATGCAATTTTTTTTTTTATCAACAATATGGCTAATGTTTATTTCAAAGAGCACAAGATACATAATCTAAACTTTTTTTTTTTAATACTAACTTCTCAATATTTGGCAACCATATTAGGTCTGACTAATTTGAAATTAAGTTATGTTGAATCCCATAAGGGGTGAAACTTTCCCAGCGTCTATTTCTCTCAGTGTTTATTTCTCTATTTACAAGACTTAAACTTGAGATCTTACTTAAAGGGACCAAATTCCTTTCATTCAAACCAACAAGTCGTTAGTAGACATTCTAAACTATATACACGTCAAGGACAGAACCAATGAAGGAAAGGGGGGCCAGCCACCCTCTAAACTTTTAAAAAGTATTTAATATGGTACTCTAACATTTTTTTGTTAAAAATTTTCACTATTAAAAAACGACATATAACTGACAACAATATAATTGATAGCCAAAAAGTTGTTGACTGTACTCATATAATTGACAAAAATTATGTCGATTATGATAATGAGTTGATTATATGGATATAATATAATCGACAACTAATAGTGGCCGTCGATTATTTTAAATTTTATAGATATTTATGTTAATATTTAATCTTTCACTGGTAGCATCTATAAATATTACATATCTTGTAAATCATAAATTTTATAATAAAAATTTAACACTATCAAATGTGATATTATTTTTAATCATTGCTTGCAAGTAGTGCAGTTCTTACACATCACTCTCCTCAACCTTCCTATTTGGGCCAACAACTCGATCCAGCTCTAACAGTAACATATTGGTAAAAGAGAGATGAGAGAGAGAGAGGTAGATAAAGAGAAAGAGGGGGCGAGCGTCGAACACGGGGAAGATGGACAACACAATGCAGAGAGCATGCAAGATCTCGGGGAAGAAGCCGACACAGGGGGAATGAATCGAAGATAGAGGGGAGCGCAACTAGTTTAGAACCAGTTTTAGAGAAGGAATAACGAAGAGTCATATGAATGGGGCTGGTATAAATAAGCCACTTCATACTTTTTTACAAATTTTCCAGATAAATGGAGTTATGCAGACATGTGGAATACTATCTTAAAATATGGAAGAGTTTATGACATATACAGTCCAAATAGGAAGAGCAGAAATGGGGGTAGATTTGGATTTGTTAGATTCTTCAATGTAAAGGATAAAAAGAAGCTTGAGAAGCAATTGGACCAGATCTGGGTGGGGGAGAAAAAATTATGGGTGAACACTCCAAAGTACGAAGATGAGCAAAGGATTGACAGAGGATGGAGAAGCAGTCAAACCATGGAGCTAGCACTGCAGATTAGAAGTTATGCTGAAGTAGTGAGAGGTCAATAGTATGGAAATCACAAAAAGGAGCTAAGAATCAAGAACAGGGAGACTTAGCTAAAGGAGCAAGGAAAGAACAAAAACAGAAACAGGCAGGGAGAAAGAAAGACTGATGACAGGAAAATGTGGCAGGAGAAAAGAGTGGATAAAAAATGGGCTAGATTGGAATATAATGTGAAGAAAGAAGATAATGCATAGCTCGATCACTGTTATGTGGGTTTGGCTCATTTGATAGAAATTGTCTGTAATTTGCAGGAAAAATTCTACATGGAGGGCTATTTCTCATGCTGAATTCATGCTATGTGGGGAAAGATGGTGTTGTTAGATTGTGAAGAGAAAAGGGAATTAGAGGACTTGGTAGAGATGACCTTACAGTGGTTGAGACAGTGGTTCAAATGGGTATGACCTTGGCCACCATATAAGGTTGCTACGGAAAGATTTGTGTGGATTAGATGTCAAGGAACACCATTAAACGTCTGGGGAATAGACTTCTTTGAAACCATGGCCTACTCATGGGGAAATTTCATGTGCTTGGATGATAGCACAAGTAAAAGAAAAAGGTTTGACATTGTGAGATTCTTGATCTCAACTCAGATTATGGATTCTATTTCTGTTATGTGTCAAATTAAAATCAATGGGTCTCTATACAATTTGAATTCGTCACAAGCCTCAGAAGATGTGATAAAGACTATAGAAGCAATGTTTGACAATGCATTTCAATTTCAAAAAGCAATTGAGGGAGTGAACAGTGCTGGAGACAAATGGGAGGCGCAACAGACATGGAAAACTGAAATGGTAGTAGCTAAATATACTGGGAAGATCTCAGGCCCGAAGGAAAGGAATGAGACGAAGCATATTGGGGGGCCTAACATGCAGGAGGGCAGCCCAAGCTATGCAGCATCATCTAACATGGGCTTGGCCCAAAAAACAATAGAGGAGACAAACCCAAATCCAAAAAATGTAAAGGAAAAGCCCAACAGCAGTGAGCATGTGGCAAAAATGAAAGAAAGCAGAAAATGAAATGGAAGTGTTTAGAAGCAGTGGATAGGTGGCAGAAACAGAAGACAGATCAAATAATGGGAAAAAGAGGTGCAAAAACAGGGAACACAAGATAGAAAGGAAGGAAAATTCAGAAACTGAGAAGGAAAATATCAAAGACAACGAGCTTGCAGAAGAATCGAAGGAAAGTAAAGAACAAGATCTCCCACGAGAAGCTCATAGAAAAAATAAAAAGGAAGCGCAGATCTGGAGGAAAAGGAGATCGAAGAAGTCTATAAAGATGAGAAAGAAGAAAATAAGCTTGTGTAGTTTGGTTTACTCAAAATCAAAAGATGTTGGAGAAGGATTGCAAAAAATAAAAGGAAAGAGAAGTACCAACAATCAACATGGGGGAGGGAAGGTAGATTCGGAATTTGTAGCGAGCCCAAATGGTGAAATTGCGGGTGAATCCATTGTCAATAGTGGAATCCAAAACTGCAATAGAGCATGGAGGAAGAAAATGAGTGACCAGCTTGCTAAGGAAATTTGGGATTTAGCTAAACATCTTGGTGCTACAACAGAGAATGATGAAGATATTATGCAGGGAATTGAGGGAATGGAGTGCAGAGACAGGCAGACAAAGACAGAATTGGGGAGACAAGGAGTCGGCGATGAAAAGAAAGTACGCAGATCTCAGGTAAGCAGATCTCTTGATGATATTATTATCATTTAATATTAGAGGCCTTGGAGGGATTGGCAAAAAAAAAGACAAATTAGAGATTTAGTTAGAAAGGAGAATGTGGAATTTTTAAAGATTCAGGAGACTAAAATGGAGGTAATTGATAGAGGTTTCTGTAGAAAGTTATGGGGTTTTGATGATTTTGATTGGGTATTTAAACCTTCAGAAGGAATGTCTGGAGGCCTTTTATGTGTTTGGAATTCTAAGGTGTTCAGGAAAAAAGAGGTTTTAGTGGGGAGAAGTTATATTGGTGTGAGTGGGTTATGGGGGGAGGATCAGACATTGGTATACATATTGAATGTCTGTTCCCCATGTCAATTGATGGGAAAAAGAGCCTTATGGAAGGAGTTACTAAACCTGATCATGAGTAGAAAGGGTAATTGGTGTTTAAGAGGAGACTTTAATGATGTAAGATGTGTAGAGGAACGGGCAGGATGCAGGGAGATATCGAGGGAAATGAAAGAGTTTAACTTTTTTATTCATGATGTGGGACTAGTTGATTTACCATTAGTGGGAAGAAAATACACTTGATACAATTCCAATTGCCAAAGCATAAGTAGAATTGATAGATATTTGCTATCGGAAGAATGGCTTATGAAGTGAAGTGATGTAAAGCAATGGGGATTGAGAAGAACAGTGTCAAATCATTGCCCTATCATGTTGAAGAATGAAAGGATTGATTGGGGACCAAAACCATTCAAATTCTTCAACGTGTGGCTGGAATAATCAGGTTGCAAAGAAATGATCAGTAATGTGTGGAGATCGACAGTGATTAAAGGATGGAAGGGCTTCATTCTTAAAGAAAAACTAAAAAAGACCAAGCAAGCATTGAAAGAGTGGAGTGGTAGCCCTATGGCAGATGTAGGCTATAAAATAAATGAGGCAGAAAGGGAGATAGTCGCAATTGACAAGAGAGGAGAGGATGCACAGCTCTCGATATAGGATAGTGAAAAGAGGGGAAATAGTTTTCTCGACCTTTGGAAGATTTTAAAAATAAAGGAGAAAATGTGGCAACAAAAGTCAAGAAAGATGTGGCTAAAGGAAGGGAATGCAAATACAAGATTCTTTCATAGAAGTGTGAAGGAAGATGGAGGAGAAATGAAATGAATAGTATCCAAATTAATGGTGAACAGCATACAGGGGTGGTCCAGATAAGAGAAGAGGTGGCAAACTATTTTGAGGTGATGTTCACAGAAAACAAATGGAAAAGCCAAAGCTTGATGGCATCAACTTCAAACAGATATCCTAGATAGATAACGAGTTCCTTATGGCACCTTTCACTGAAGAGGAGATTAGAAATGCAGTGTGGGATTGTGATTCTACAAAATCACCTAGGCTGGACAGTTTTAACTTTAGATTCATAAAAGCTATGTGGGAAAATATAAAAACTGACATTGTTGGGTTCATTCAAGAATTCCATGAGCAAGGTAGGCTCGTAAAAGGGTCAAACCCTTCTTTCATTGTTCTGATCCCAAAGGTGGAAAACCTACAACGAATAGAAGAATACAGACCCATTTCACTCATTGGGATCATGTATAAGATCATTGCAAAGTTATTAGCAAACCGTCTTCGAAAAGTGCTGGACAGAATTATTGGGGAGTAACAGATGGCATTCATATGTGGTAGACAGCTTGTGGATGGTGTAATAATTGCAAGTGAGGTGATTGAAAAGGCAAAGAGACAGAAGAGGAAAAGCTTTGTGTTCAAAATTGATTTTGAAAAGGCATATGATAAAGTATGCCGAGAATTCTTAGATTACATGCTGCTGAGGATGGGATTCAATGGTACATGGAAGAAATGGATATAGGAGTGTCTTCAATCAAGCATGATTTCAATCCTTATCAATGGAAGTCCAACCAAGCAATTCCCTGTCAACAAAGAATTAAGACAAGGTGATCCATTATCCCCTTTTTTATTTTTGATTGTGGCGGAGGGGCTAAATGGCTTAATGTCTTCTGCAATTGAGAAGGAACTATACAAGGGGGTGTTGATTGGTAATGGTGAGGTGATGGTCACCCTTTTACAATTTGCGGATGATACGATCTTTTTTAGGGAGGCATCAGAAGACAATATAAGGGTGATCAAATGTATCATGAGGACTTTCGAGTTGGCCTCAGGTCTGAAAATTAATTATGGGAAGAGTCAGATAGTGGGGATTGAAGTGGAGGAAGGTTGGATTGAGAAAATGGAGTACAAGCTTTGTTGCAAGGTGGGAGAGTTCCCAATGAAATACCTGGGAATTCCTATTGGTGCGAATCATAGAAAACTAGCAATGTGGCAACCATTGGTGGATTCTTTCAAAAGGAAACTAGCTAGCTGGAAAGGTCGGCATCTCTCTCTTATAGGTCATTAACTCTATGTTGTCTAGCTTGCCTGTGTTCCTGATGTCAGTCTACCTCATCCTGAAAGGTATTCTCAAATCTATTGATAAAATTCACAGAAGTTTCTTATGGGGAGGGGAGGGAGTAGTGAAAATAATTAATTGGGTTAGCTGGGAGAGGGTTTGTAAGCAAAAAGAACATGGAGGGCTAGGAGTGAGGGATTTGAGAAAATTTAACTTGGCGTTGATGGGAAAGTGGTGGGGGAGATTAGCAACAAATGGAGAAGGCTTGTGGAAGAAAGTTATTGTTGGGAAATATGGGGGGGAGGGGGACATTGGCTTGATTGGGTGAGAGATGGGAGAAGTGTAGGCTCGGTATGGTGGAGAGATGTTTGTGCCCTTAATATGGTTGACGGGATGAACGTTGGGTGGTTATAGGAGGGATTTAGGATAAAGGTAGGAGAGGGGAAATGGGTGAGTTTCTGGTGGGATGAGTGGTGTGGGGAGGG